AAGCAAGTTAAACGGTTGTTGTCAAGTCAAGAGAGGTCACCCGGATATGGTTCCCCCTAGACTGCAGTTAAGCCGGATTGCAATTTACCAAGTTCAGTTTTTATGAAAGTTATACTGCGGAAGGTTCTTAACTAGTCTGAAGTCTCGACTAAAGGTCTCCAGACCCTCTCAATCTGAGTCTCTAGCGGGCGACTAACCTCCACCAGAGTAAACAGATTGAGGCCCTAGTGAACCAAACCTCCACTACCGAATTGAATGCGATACAGAATAGCGAATTGGCTCCTCGACAAAAGTCACCAATTCGCCACCTTCGATTAAGGATACTCTATCAACCTAGGCAGATATTCTCATTCTAGGTCAAAGCAGAAACAACAGGAATTTGATCAGGATTCAAGTCATTCAATCATTCAAACCTCAATCGAATATAATCAATTCACAAACTCTGTACTTGGGTTCATACAATCAGACCTAGCATACAAATGTAGGGTTCCCCATACCCAGATGAATGGGGGAACTACTCCATAGAGAAAGAAGCAAAAGCAGATTCAGACGCGGAAATCATACTGTGAAGACGGATTTCTGCTCCTGGACATTTAATCGGCACTTCTCCAAGCTCAAGTCGGGCTCCAATGGTGATGAAGATCAAGCTATGGCACTTGGGAACTCTGGTTCGTCGCTTTCTCTCTCTAGGAATCGCTTTCTCTCTCCAAAACTCGGAACCCTTCAATGTTGGCCTTCCTTTCCCTTAAATCAGCTGCCTGGTCGCGATACCCGGTCGGGTATTTTGGATTTCGACCGGGTATAATCAAAACGCGCCGCTTTCGTAAAGGGAAAATCCCCGGTCTAATCCAATAATCCCCGACCGGGGATTTTAGCATTCTGCCCGGGCTCCTCTCTGTTTCTCGGGCGCCCAAAAATAGTGAATACCCGGTCGGGTATTTGGCCACCTGACCGGGTATTTTCCTCCTGCGGCTTACTTTGTCCCAACTTCGCTCCTTTCGACCCAGAACTCGTTCCTCCGCCTCGATTCCAACGCCGGGACCTGAAATATGACATAAACACACACCCTAGCGTGAAATCGGCTTAAAACACTAGAATCCACATCTCAAACGGCTTCAGAATGGGGTGAAAACATGTGTAATTATTGGTCTATCAATCTCTCACTGTCTCGAGCAAACTGCTCCATGAGAAGCCTCAATTCATAGTTTGGATCTGGCTGTGGTGTGTAGCATGGCTCTGCAGAATGGCCTGTGAAGGCCGCCATGGGTAACTCCAGCTCCGATGGCCCTTCTGGTTGTGGGAGAAAGTCTTCTTGGTAATGAGGTTGTTCTTGATATGCCCAGGGGTCTGGTTGTTCTCCGTAGTAAGGGGGTTGGTACTGGAACCCGAATCCATAGTATTCTCCTCCTTGATTGCTGCAGAGAGTCTCGGGGTAATACCACTCGGATGGTGGTGGATACCCCCAATGGTTGGAGAAGCCATGAGGATCCATGATTCAGATCTGCACCAACAAAAACAAAAACACCCAAGTGAAAAGCAAGGGTGGAAAAGAAAAGAAAAACGCTAAAGTAACAAACTTCTGCCTTTCCTAATAATCTAGAAAGTCCCCGGCAACGGCGCCAAAAACTTGACTCGCTATGACACAACTCCTAAAAATGGCCAAGTGTAACCAATGAAAGGGACTGCAGTATAGTGGCTCAAGTAATAAATATCGAATCCACGGGTCTCTAGAGTTACTATTACTCAGCTTCAGTTCATTATCTAGCAAACCAGATTAAGATGGAAGAACTAAAACTACTCTAACAAACTCCAGTTAAAGTTAATCTAATTACAGATTGGGAACTCACTTAGGTATGATTCCCCCTAGCCACTAGCCAGATTAATGACTGATGATCGCTAACCTGTTTCACTTTCATTCACAATGCGGAGAATCCTTGACTAGACCTTGAGTCTCAACTAAAGGAACAAGGCCATCTTGAGTCAATTGCCTAGAGGGACGTATCCTTCTTTAGAACAACCGATCAAGGCGTTCTGAACTAGATTCCCACTATCGAATGAGTTTCTCAATCAATACAAAGCATTGAATCAACCCTCGACTAAAGCAATCGATCCAATACTATCAATCTATGGTGCTCTGTTGACCTAATCAGGTATTCGCTCTCATAGGATCAAAACAGAATCAATAATCTAGACTAAAGCAGAATTGAATCATGAAAACATGCATAGATTGAATATGAACTCAAGATTATCAAGTAGGCGTACTCTACAATCATCCAATCAAACAAACATAGCTAGGGTTCCTCAAAACCTAAGTGATGGGAAGTTACTCCATAGAGAAGAGAGAGACTGCAGTAAGAATCTTCAGATGATCAGTCTTCAAGTCCGGGCTTGTTCCTCGAGCTTTTAAGGCGAAGAAATCCTCCAATTCCACTCCAAGAATGCCCTCAAATTGCCCTCTCTCTCTTTGGTTCATCCCTTGGGTGTTTGGGATCCAAAACTCAGCTCTCTCTTTCCTTTGGCTTCAATCTGCCTCAAAAACCCGATTCTGGGCAAAACACGGTCGAGGACACGGCCGTGTTTTACTTTTGCCCGCCCGTGTTTTGCCCCCAGCAGCCCTCGTCGGCCAAAACACGGTCGTGCCTAAATATGGACACGACCGTGTTTTTCTTTAGGTCAGCTCGTGTTTTTACTGCCGAACATGTTCCCCTATATTCAATGCTTCGTTTCTCCCTCGTCCGGACTCCGAATCAGTCGCCGTTTGATCCCAGACGCTCGTAGTCTCGTCCTCTTTATTTACATGACAAACTTGCATGATTCTTTGTCCATAAAGTGAGGTAGAAATCCATTCTTCTTCAGGTCATGCCCGAGTTTCTTCTCCTGAATCGCCAATTGATCTCTAATTGACTTGAAACTTGCGCTTATGCTTCACTTTATGTGATAGGACCTAAAATGTAACAAAGGAACACAACCTAGCGTAAAATAGGCCAAAGAAGCGATAATGCAAGCTTAAACGATCAAGAAACAAAGGGGGAAACATGTGCAAATATCGAGTCATCACCTACCCATGTGGACTTTCCATAAAGACGGAGGTACCAGGAGGGGTATTGCCACAACGAACTCTGTTGAGAGTATGGACAACGTGTAAAAGGGGGTCCGGGCACTGCAAATATCCGCCATTGTTGAGATGACTTTATGGAAAACGAATGAATGGTTCGTCAATCGACTCCACTGGGCAAGGACGGATGAGTCACAGAGTAAGGTCCCTGCAATTAAAGTCACTGAAGTCATGGAAAAAGAAAATCGGAAGAGTAGTCGGCACCCTGCCACCGTTATGAATCGAGATTTCGGCGATTATAGCGTCGAGACCGGCCATTGGGAGGATGGTAGATGTGGCGGTCATCGGCATGAAGTGAAGGTCAATTTAAGGACAAAACAGGGTGAGTGCTCTTGCCAAAAGTATCAGGGAAGAGGATGGCCTTGTTCTCATGCAATGGTCGTAATAAAAAAAAAAGAAGCAAAAACCCCCTTCATTTCGTCAGTCCATTCTTCAACATCGATTCGCTCAAAAACTGCTATAGAAGGAGTTTTCGAGCATTACCGGATGAAGCTTACTGGCTGCTATATGAAGGAAAGTTAATCATCCCACCGATCAGACAGTGGCGTGAACCGAGTCGACCTAGGGTAAAGAGGATTCAGAATGAGATGGATCAAAGTGGAAGACCACCACGAGGCCCACAGCGTTGTTCCATATGCAAAGTGCCAGGGCATGATAAACGAAAATGTCCTGGACCGATAGGACCGCAAAATCCAGGGGCTGATGTGGTCGACTTTGCTAATGCAACATAGACTGCATCATTTTTTTCATGTAAGTGTGTCAATTGTCTTTATTGTGAACGGTATGATGGTGGCTGATGTATCTTTAATTACTACCTCATTACGTTTTTCTGTACCATCAACCACATTTAAGACATTGAATAAGATAATAACCAACACTCAAAATAACACGGGCACTTGTTGATAATAAAACAAAATTAAAAAGTCAAGTACATAGAACTCAATCGGAACTAAAAACACTACTCAACTCATTGAAATAAAATGAAATAAACACTCAAGGAAGGCCATGTTCCTCGTGGGGTTGCAACACCTTTCAGCTCCTTGTACGACGGCCGATTGGTGTGACAATGGGTGGCTGCGGTGGCAAATAACGACGCCCAGTGGAAGGGTGCTGGTCCGCGCTATGACAGCGGTGGTCTGTGGAAGGTGGCTCCTCCGGACTCGGGCGGGGGGCATCCACCCTCATACAGTGGGGAGTAGGGGGGCCATCGATGCTGAGGGCGATTAAGTTCGATGAAGTCTTGTTGTGCATTCAAGAAGGAACCATCATTCTAAGTACCCGAGGATGTGCCGCCATGTTGGTAGGATGGTCGGGGATCTTGATGGTAGCTCGGGTGAGGCTCGTCGTAGGAGCTCGGTCGGGGGGATTGTTGAAAGCTCGGACGAGGATCGTAGTATGAGCTCGGGCGGGTCTCATACTAGGAGCTCGGACGGGGCTCGTAGTAGGGGCTCGAACGGGGATCTTGTTGAGACGCACTCGGACCAGAACCGTGTGTCACATCCAAAGGAGGAGGCACTTTCCACGCCTCAATCGGCGTTACATCGGGTACGTTCACCCTTTCGCGAGTGCTCTTGTTTGGCCTTTTTGGGTGTGGCGGTGGTGGGTTTAGGTACATCAGTATATACCCGATGTGTCTCTAGTGCGGGCATAGACGGGTATCTATGATGATCACGACCTCGCGCTCTTACGCATCCAAGAACGCTGTTTGTTATCCTCTTTAGAAAGCTCACCTCTCCACTGCCAAAAGAATCCCGACCATGAGTCATATCTTTGATCCGCTCTAGCCCATCGACCTGAATCACATAATGAAACAAAGTTAGCAATCTAACAATTCACGTTATGTTGATAAAAAATGAGAATAAATGGATTAATTATACGAAATTACTTACCAATGCACCATCAGCCGCACCCTCCGGAGTAACGTATTGAACCGATTGTCTTCGGTACTGATCCATGTATGGGTCGTGATACCCCATTCGCCCCTGAGCAATTGGAGTGAGATATCAAAACCTTGCCTGCCATTCCACATCCGGATGAATTTCTTCAACTTCTCAGGCCAATCATCAGCTCCTTGGCGACCATCTCGGTGGTGGAAAGCCTGTTGACTTTCGGGGACCTTCAGAGGCATGCTTTGCTCCCGACCAAATTGACGTAAGCATCGATCTGGCAGATGCCACTCCATAATATGGTGACAGATGAGAGGGACTTTCGCGCACCATTGATTTTCATGCCCAGGGAATTGTTGCAAATGCCAGTTAACGATGTTCTCCGGGTAAGGATCGTATATGATCTACAAAATAAATGACCACATAGAGTTAGCGTAGTTGTAACATACATGTCGTTAATAACAAGTGAAGAAGTTCAAATTATGATAGTTACCTCTCTTTCCCAAAGTCTCTCTAGCCTCCTACGATACTCTGTCAACTTGTGATCGGAAAGGTTGTCGCATGTTGAGGCTCCAACCACCGTATTAATAAGGAAACAGTAAAATGTTATAAACAAATAACTCACTAATGGGTTATGGAAAGCATGAGTGGGTATGAGTAGTTTACCTACAACCATAAGCTTCGAGTCTTAGGGGATTATTGGGATCCCAATCCTTGTCGAGATGTTGGACCGATGCAATCCATGTCAGATGCTGCCATTCCTAAAACTGGACAATGAACATTGCCCCACCAACCTCCTTCACGGCTTTGAGAGATGCATTACACAAATGGTGGTAGATATGAGCTAGACAAGTGGATGTCCAGCTCAAATTCTCCATCGCATCCCAATCACCAAGGAGGATCCTCAGCCACCCACTACTAGTTAAATTGTTGGATTTCTTAGGGAAGAATACTCCTCCGATCATGCCTATGAGATAGACACGAGCATATCTTTCCTTCTCAAACTCTGAACTTTCCTCGGTTAAGGGGATCCCACCTTGTGTTGGATCGTGTCGGTTCCTGATCTCCCTAGTCAACCAAGTGATTGATACTTGTCGCTTCCTAAATGGTGCGTTGCGATCCTCCACATCAACGCTTCCCTTGACTGGCACTCGGAGGTCCAAAACGTTGTGGATCAAATGCTGCCAACCGGTCATCCCGCCAACATCCGGTGGTGCACGATCGCTCACACATACCGCATTGCCGTCAATGGGCAGATGGGTTAGGACGGCGACATCCTTTAGTGTGATGGTGCACTCTCCTTCGTGAAAATTGAAGCAATGTGTCTCCTTTCGCCATCTCTCCACCAATGCGGTGATGAGTTGACGGTCGATCTTTATCCCTAAGAAGTACCTAATCGACTCCAACCTTGCCCTTTTGAGATAGGGCAAGATGACGTCGTTATATGCGAGCACATTGGCCGTACCCCTATAGCGGATTACATAGTATGCATCCTAGAGAAAAATTTAACTTTCCCCATAAGTATATTATAATAAAAAATTATAAATTTATTATAACAAATAGTTTAAGTAAAAAATAATTTAAACGAAGGACAATGCACATTGAAAACAGTAATAAACCGTTTAAATAAACAATAATAATTATAACAAAAAGTAATCTTTTATAACAAACAATTTAAATAAATATTTGAAAACATACACATTAAATCCATGACAATATTGTGTAAATCATATTGGTTGTTTTCAATAACTTAATCTAATACAATGCAACAATCGTTAGATTCTTAGAAGAGGTATACATCTTCTTAGAAACACAGCCTTTTTGACAGAAAAATGGGGGATCCGAGAATCGCTTAAAATCCGATTTTCCCAGGAAATGGGAGGATCATCATAATCACTTAAAACCTCATTTGCTTAGGCATGCATCTCTTTATAAAGAGTCTAGGTAAATGGCGCATTGTATTAGACCAAACCATTGAAAATAATCAATACAATTAAAAATTATCAAGTTTAATTTATAAACCACTAAGTACATAAACCAAATAAAAAAGTGACTAAGGAGACTAATCCATGTATGTACCTGGTGATCGTTCCAAACATCTCTTGAACGATGGTTAGGTTGGTCGTACAACACGCTTGGATCAATCGGTCCTTGCTCGATATAATATTGTAGGTTGTATATATCGATGTCGTCCCCAACCTACGAGAGAATAACAACATGCATAATTAGTTAGTATATAGATTAATTTTAAAAATTATAACAACAAAAAATTGGTAAAATGAGTACATACAGCTTGATATTCATCTTGGAAAACACCCTCCTCTTCAAACCAATCATTTATTTTTTTAATAAGTCGAACAAAGATTCGACGGGTTTTGAAGGATAAACCAAAGAAATGTTTTCTGATGGCAGATCGAACATAGCCGCAACCAACAGAAAACTATTTTCTAGGTTTTTTTTTTTTTGGTGGGGTGATGGATAGAGATATAATTTTAGAGAGAGAGGGAAGAATGGGTTGTGGTGTGTAAAAAATGGGAGGGGGAGAGGGGGTTTATATAGCACTCGGACCGCCCCCTTCAGGGATGATTTTGTCAAGTTGCCCCAACAGAAACCGCTCCCTCGGGACACGGTTTTCATTTACCGAGGACGAAGACTGCAGCTTTGGCGAGCTGTTCGTGATCCATGACGCGGATCGCTCCCATGGCATGCGCTCCACCATTAGATCGCGGTTCAATCGGACAGTTTAAGAAACCGTAGCCAGCTAATGCGGTTCCTCGGCCGCCCTAGCACAGACCATGCCTTTCATGCACGGTTTTTGTGTAAACCGCCGCTTTGGTGGGCGGTTTATGTAGAAGGGTACTACTTTTGGAATTTGCCTTGTTTGGGTGCTACTTTTGTAAAAAAAAAAAAAAATTTAACAGTGCTATTTCTGGATTTTTTCCACCACCTAGCCTCTCTCACGTTTTTCATTGGGTACTAAAAGGAAAGAGGAGAAAATGGAGGAAGCAGGTTTTTTTCTTTCTTTCTTCTTCATTGAATCAGATCTTTGTATTAATCACCTGCCAAATCTGATACAACGAGTATAGAGGGATACCTCTATGTAGTCCCTACTATACTACATCCAGCTTCACTCTATAACTCTATACATCAACAAGGAAACCAACAAAACTGCTAGAATGTAAATTACTGTCAATTAACTGTCCAAGTGCAAAAATGACAGATCCTCCTGCAAAGTGTCATAAACCAGTTGGTCCCAATAACTCGAGTTGTTGGGAGAAGGTTACGCTGGATCTTATACCAATCTCTTACACGACCCCTCAAATGAAAGCAAACTCATGGGCTTGAAGTTTGCACAAGCCCACCATACCATGTGCTTTAATCAACTGTTGATATTGGGGATCGTGGAGATTCGAACACACGACCACTTGGCCAAACCATCTCTGATACTATGTCATAAACCAGTTGGTCCCAATAACTCGAGTTGTTGGGAAAAGTTTATGCTAGATCTTATACCACTCTCTTACACTCTCTTACACAAAGTAACATTTGAGAAGGCCAAGCTGAATATCTCTTTTAATCATACGGTTTAGCACAAGAACATCACAACCCTTGTCTGCCATGAGTGAGATTGCATCGCTCCCGCCAAATAGCTATCACAATACACCATAGAAGCCCGCTGACTCGAACATGAGCAGCAGCTTTTGCTGAAGCATCTATAGCAGCTTCAACAGTAGCCCCCAAGATGATCGAACAAATAACTGCTCAAGACCAACATTCTGCACTAGCTTTCTATCAAACTCACAGGAGAAAAACAGATGTTTCCTTCCCTCGATTCATCAGCCACATCACATAATGAACAAGAAGAATCTACCAATTTACTCCACTGTCTCAGTTTATCTCGTGTAACTCTACTATTCAGTAGTACCAACCATGCAATAATAGTGAACCTAGGAGGACAAATTAAAATTTGTTCCATATCACCCTAGTTGTACCACCCCACTGGGCTCTCACGCACTCTTGTGGAGTTCCAGAATGTACTTACAGAGTATGCAGGCATAGGAGATCCATCCCACATCACCTCTGTTCCTCGCTTATGGAGCTTTGACCCAATCAAATCTCCGAGTTTCAGAATTAATTCTACAACACACCCAGGAACTACTAGAAGACATCTTCAGCGAGGAGATAGATCCATCTCCACTCCTATAGATCTTCATCCAGGCCACCCAGATCGTCCCTGACTCCATTAAGAAAAACCAGAGCATTCGCCCCACACATTGGATTTCAAAGAAGAAGGGAAAAAAGGGAACAATTTGTTTTTTAATGTGCTGACGTGCGAGTAGGGGTGAAAATGAGCCGAGCTAAGCCGAGTTTTACCTCAGTTTGAGCTTGACTCGTTAACAAATGAGCTGAGTTCAAGATCGAGCCGAGTCGAGTTCGAGCTAGGCTTGTTTAATAAATTCTTAGATCGTATTTGATACATTCATTTTGTATGTCGTGTATGGTACATGTGATTGATGTAACGAAAAAAAATAATCAAATATTCAACATTAATTAATCTTATATTATAATTTATAGGTGTCATATTGTTTAGTTAATAAATTTTAACTAGTTCAAATCATGTTATGTCATAGTATCGAAACAATTTTGTACATAATTTCTTTATAGAATAAAAAACAAGGCATATTTCTTACATGTTCAACATGTTAAACTTCACATGATGTGAGATATATAGTTTAACAATCCTATGAATTGTGAACGTCCAAATTAGATCGATTCGTTCATAAGTCGGTGATCAAATTGGCTCTCAAACCACAATGTTGAGACATCTCATGAGCTCTAAATGAGCTAACTCACGAGTTGAGATCAACAAGCCATCGAGTCAAGCTAGCTCGCGAGCTTCGCGAGCTGAACATAGCTAAGCTCAAACTTGGCTCGTTTGTAAACGAATCGAGTTTCGAACGAGTTTTTCCCGATTCGAGCCTCGAATTGCTTGCGAGTAGCTCGGCTCATTTGCAGCCCTACGTGCGAGCATGATTTTAGTTTAATGCTAATGTGGCAGTGGTCTAAATTTTAAACCCTTTTAATATTTTTATAGAAGATAGATAGATAGTTTGGTTTAATAAAATGTATCCGGTTTCAAAGAACCGTCGGATGAAAGTGATTTTTTTAATAATTTAGTTTTTGTCTCACGATAATATTTTTAAAGCACACGAAATTGTTGTGTATTATGACTTAGGAGAATAAGAAATGTGTCGTGCGAACAATGACAGTACATGAGTCATTCATGTATGGTGGTATAAATTGAACGATATTGTTATAGTTTAGTAATTGTCCAATAGGAGTATGACTCGTGAACATATGAACGTGTGTATATATATATATATATATATATATATATATATATATATATATTTAACATATATCAAAACTATATATCATTGTGTAGGTCACATATATTTCTTTAGTAAAATAATATAAATTTGGAGTTTTTTTTACATAGTCAATAGTACAATAAGGTCAATATGTCAAAGAGCGGATAACAACCACCGGCATAGTCCACCAATAGTCGGACTATCGATAAAAGGGCATGTTTAGTCACAAGATGGACAGCCTTATTAAAACTCCAAAGAGCAAAGAAACAAGCATAGAAGACGAAGCGTCGAGCAAGTCATTTGACACCTTCTAGTATAGCTCATCCAACATCATGATATAGGTGTCCTGTCAACGCCCGTTGCACCACCAATTGGGAATCACCGTAGAATTAAGCCAACCAAATATTTACGGGTTAAGCACTAATTAATTGCATCACGCAAGAGCATTAATTCCATGAAGAATGAATCCTGAATACGATCATAAATCTTGCCAAATGCCAAGACCACCCATTGAAAGTTACATAAAACATAACCACCACAAATTCATAGATTAAGCATCACAACTGTAACAACAAAACACCTCAACTATTTTGCCTTAGAGCCGTAACAACAAAGTTGAGTTGGGGGAAATGAAACCCTAGAAGTCTTAGGTGTTTCTCATTCATACTTGGGTTTAAATAGGCAAAAGCTTTGCACTACAAGACAACATGTGCAAGCTAGCATTTGGAGACTACAAAGATAAAACATTAACTCAAACTAAAGTCTAAACACACATTGACATTAAACTAAACTTGATGATGATGATTTCCTCTAAACCTTGTCGATCCACTTTGACATTCATGGTCGCCGGTTTGAGTTTTAACGATAACTTGAAATATCTCCTGATAGTTGAAGGCGTTTGAGACTCCAATGTCTCTTGCACTTAATTGCTTTATGTGTTCTAGCTCTGTGATTCAGACTTCAGAGATGACTATGGA